GTCAGTCAGTTCTTCTATACGGATCAGAAACTTGGCGGGTCACAAAGAATATTTCCAACAGCCTTTTGCAGACCTTCATCAACAAGTGTCTCCGTTCTATACTGAAGATTAGATGGCCGGAAAGAATCACAAACAAGAAGCTATGGGAACAAACGAAACAGGAACCAATCGCCCAACAAATATGCAGGAGGAAGTGGAGATGGATTGGACACTCTCTGAGGAGGCCGCTGGGTGACTTCGCACGTCAGGCCATCGCTCGAGTGGAACCCGAAAGGGAAGCGGCGAGTAGGACGTCCAAGGGTGACATGGAGGAGACCGTGTGAAGAAGAGTTGAAACAGTATGGACTAACATGGATGCAAGTGAAAAGTACAGCAGAAGACAGAAGCAATTGGAGACGTGCAGTTGAAGCCCTATGTTCCACTAGGAACCCAAGGGAACAATAATAATAATATCGATATTATTGCTTTGGGTTCTGAGTAAAACATAGGGCTTCAACAACACAACTCCACTTTCTTCTATTCTCCACTGTCCTCCTTAACTGGGTCCATGATTGCCTAAACTCTCACATCTCTTCGTCACACGATCTCCTACATATCACCCTCGCACCGATGACCCACTCGTCGCTTCCCATTTGGATTCCACTTGAGCAATGGCCTGCATTGAGCACTATATCAGTGGATGGTCTCCTCAATGTATACCCGATCAATCCACCTCCATTTTCTCCTACATATTTGTTGAGCAATCGGCTCTTGCTTGCTGGTTTGTTCCCAGCCAGAATTTCTTGTTACTTATTCTTTCTGGCCATTTGATCTTCAGTATGTAGGTGGCGAAGGCAGCTTAATATATGTGTAAAACTTGGGCACTGTGGTAGTAAGTAATTCCATATTAGTTTGTTCATTAGATATACCACACAGTGAGTGAAACAGTATTATTTACTGGATGACGTTTCGAACAAAATTTATTGTTCATAATCATATCAGTTGTAATCACACGACTTTGAAACTTGAGTTTTATAGTTTTCTTTGTTCTCTCCTATTTGTCGTAGGGTTAGAAGAATTTTCCAGATATCTCGGTGGACAGGTGTTGAATCATTCCTATTACATGTATTTTCATTCAGTTGATTCGATAAACAAAGCTTATGTTATCAATCTCTCCCTACACCCTGTGACATTAAATTTTAAAACTGTCATCTTATCCCATCCTATTGTATGGTTGTGTGTAACTGCATGTAATGCTATAGCTGAACTATTCTCCAGATTTCTTATCTTATTTGGATCAACCAATCTAGATTTTGCTAAGTTTTTATGTTCAGCTACTCTGACTCACTGCACCTGTTCTACTAGTTTGACCAATATATTTGACCTGATAATCATTGCAGGCAGGGTATGAGATAAACTAAACTGTTTTATCTTAAAGGCTCTACAGGATCCCTTAACCGACAAAGCTTGTTTCTAATTGAGTCTGTGGGTTTGAATGCCATTTATATTCCTGCCTTGTTAAGAATTCTGCGTAAGGCTTTCGAGGTTCCTTCCTTGTATGGAATTACCGTAACAACAGAAGGCAAGAGTCAGGCAACAGATCATTTATTAAGGAAATCAACGCATATTTATATATTTTCATGTACATTATTATGGATATTTAAGCAAACAAACACAGTCTTCCGATTGGTTGTTTCTCACGTAAAGTTAATCTTTCATCTATTTGTGACTGTTTCTTGAATGTCAAATCCTCTATATGTTAACTGCATCCGCCTACGCAAAGTCAATCTTTGTTCACATTTTCTCACGACAAATCTTGGGAACGTAAATATTGACGTAAATTACTGTCTACCAATTTGGCTAGTAGACAGCTCTCACCACACTCGTCCCCCCGTCAAATAGCTTCGCGCGCAGGCGTTCCGACCTTCTGGGTGATGCGTTCTCTCGTTGATGATTGTTACAGACCGGCTTGTCCCAATGCACCCATCGTTGGATCTGACTGGCGTTAACTCGTTTTTGTTTGTCACCTCTTCTGATGGTATATACTTGACCCCGTCTTTTTGTGACTGTGTATGGTCCTTCCCACTTTGGAAGGAGTTTGCGTGAACCTGGCCCGCATCCGACAGCATATCTTCTGTCTCTACACTTCACTTGGTCCCCGACTGAGAAGGTAATGCACTGAGTCTTTTCTCTCAGCTGAGACTTCGCGACATCCCTCCGCTGCTTCTGCATTACATTCTTGACGGCTTCTTTCCGTTCTGCTTTTAATTTCGTCGTACTCCACTTTTGGTGAAGGGGCCAGGTTTCGTTGTGTATCGGTAATCGTGGTTTTCTACCATACATCAGTTGAAAGGGTGACTTTTTCGTTGTTTCCTGGGTGGTGGCACGATGTGTTAGTAGAATCAGTGGCAGCTCCGTTTCCCAGTTACCGCCCTTCGAGGCCAGCCACTCCTTCAGCGTACGGTTGTTTCTCTCCGTCAGGCCATTCGTTTGTGGATGGTATGGGGTCGTTCGGATCCTCTTGATGCCAAGCTGTTGCAAACGGGAAGTAAATTCTTCACTTTCGAAACACGGACCTTGGTCTGTCAGTATTGTCTTTGGTACGCCATGGTCTGCAACGATGTGTCTAACTACTGCATCTGTCACGGTCCTTGCGCGTTGGTCTGGGATTGCTACGGCGTCTACCCATCGTGTCGCGTGTTCCGTCATCACCAAGAGGTACTGATTACCATTGGATGTCTGAGGAAATGGACCCATAACATCTACGGACCACAAGTCACCTATCGCCGTAACTGGAATCGACTGAAGTGGTGGTCGTATGCACCGGTCGCCTTTCATTAGCTGGCACCGTGGACATCCAAGTACATATCTTGCTACGTCTTCTCTCATACCTGGCCAGTACATACTTTGTCTCAAGAGGTCGGTTGTTCTGGCCACTCCGGTATGTGCTAGCTGGTGGCATTCTTCTATCATGTCGTGGCGCGACGATTGAGGTATGACAGCTAGCCAGCTTCCGTCGTCCTCTCGCCAGGTCAGAGTCCCGTAGACATTCACTCTTAGTCGATCTCTCTGTCTGAGTAGTGTGGTTAGCTCCTTACTCGCTGTAGCTGGATCCACTTCTATTCCGTTAGTGATCACCTGTATTACTGTATTCAGCGTATCGTCCAACCTTTGTCTGCGTGCCAGTCTTAGTGGGTCTTGTTCTACTGCATGCACTCCGTACGCGACCTCGGGCAACTCAGACTCGTCTTCTGGTCTCGATAACAAATCTGCCAAGACATTTTCATTTCCAGGAACGTGTGAGATGGTAAAATCGTACTCCTGAAGACGCAACATCCACCGTGACAATTTCCCTCGTGGGTCTCTCGCTGTCTTCAGAAACTGTAGCGGCTTATGATCCGTTTCGATGTGGAACCGCCGGCCGAGTAAATAAGGTCTCCATTTGTCGATTGCCCATACCATCGCTAAACATTCTTTCTCTATCGTTGAATACTTTCGCTCTGTGTGTGTCAAAACCCGACTGGCATACTCAACGATTCCCTCACCCTGTCTTAGGACCGCACCTATGGCGTAGTCACTGGCATCTGTGCACACTGTGAACTGTCTTCCAGGTACAGGTAGCTTTAGTGTCATTTGTTGGTGGTCGAGCAGCTGTTTAATCCTGTTGAATGTCTTCTGCGATTCCTCCGACCAAACAAACTTCGGTTCACCTAGTAGCCTGTACAGAGGGGCTGCTATCTCATTGAAGTTCTTCACGAAGCGACTATAAAACGCTGCTCTACCTAAGAATTGTCTCAATTTTCTCTTTGAATTCGGGGCCGGGATCGTCTTTATCGTCAAGATTTTCTCCGGTAGTGGTTTAATCTCACCATTTCCCACTTTATGTCCCAAAAGAGTTACATTCTTTTTGGCTATCTGAGACTTGGTTTTGTTGACGCGCAGTCCAAACTCTTCGATGCGTCGCAGCACGGCTTCCACATGGTTCACATGATCGTTTTCGTTTTGACTATATATGACGAGATCATCACCGTACACCTCAACGTTTTTCAAGTTCTTAAGTAATAGCGTCATCAGTCGTCTGAACGTGAACGGTGCACCTGCTAGTCCAAACGGCATGCGTTTAAATCGATATTGTGTCTGACCCACGATGAATGCCGTCTTATCTCTATCACCTGGCTTTATCGGTATCTGCCAGTATCCTGAGCGAAGATCGAGAACTGAAAACAAATTTGCGCCTTGTAGGCGATCTAAAGTTTCTACTACTGTTGGCATGGCACACGGTCTTAACTCTGTCATACTGTTTAACTGTCGAAAATCAACGCAGAATCTATACTTCCCATTCGCCTTTTTTACTAACAGCACTGGAGAGTTGTACGGGCTATCAGCTTCTTCAATAATATCATCTTTTAACATCTCTCGCACCTGTCGCTCAACTTCGCCTTCTAAATGACATGGAACTCTTCGCGTGGTAAATGACGTTACTTTCGGGCCACTTAACGGAATTTCATGATTCACCTTATCGCAATAACCGTATGGGTCCCCATCTCCAGTAAACAGATGATCGTATTTGCTGAGTAACTTTGCTATACTTCGGACTTCCGATGCCGCAATCCCTGCTACCTCACTATTCTCGTGCATGCTAAAACACCCGTACTTCGTAACGACAACCCTTTTCTTCATGTTAATCACTGCATCCACTTCTCGCAAAAAGTCGGCCCCAAGGATTGTTCGGCGCAATTCAGGTACAACCAGGAATGGGAACGTCACGCAATCCTCTCCAATTCTAACCCTGCAGTCTGAAACTCCCGCGATTCTTAACACGTGACCGCCTACTGTCTGCACTGTCAACGAACACGGTCTTATACTCTCACATAGACTCCTATCTACGAGTGAGACTGCAGCCCCTGTGTCGATTAAACACACCAACTCGCGATCATTTACCCGTAACTTCGAATATATTGCCCCCTTCTCCATCGCCCCTATTACCTCAAGTCTCGGAACACAGGAAGAAGACACAGTATATCTTTTAAAAATTCTTCTTTGTCGTCTTTCCGGGCAGCGGTCTCTCCAGTGCCCCAGTTTGCCACATGCGAAACACCGGTCTCTCCGCACGCTCAGTCTCAGCGCGGCCACTTCACGTTGCAACTCTTCGATTTGTTTCTCACACTGCTCGGATTTTGGTGGCTCTACCGCTGCAACCGTCTTACTCAACAGTTGTCTGGTCACCTTCGCAAGCTCTCCGATGTCCAGTGGCTGTACGGCGTTAACCAGATGTAGCTGTTGGGATATATGTTCTGGGACACTCTCCATAAACTGGGATGCCAACATTTGTGCCTCAGAATCTTCGTCCAGTGTTGGTAGAGCGCGACGAAGTAGGCTTGTCAAGGTCAGCGCCAATACGAGAGGGTCACCGTCAACTCCCAGCTTCATGGTGCGAAACTGCTGCATTGCCCGCTCTCTGTCCATCGGGCTGTCAAACTCCTGCTTCAAGCGTTCCACCACTGACTTCCAAGTTGGTTGCCCCTCTGTTTGCCTCACACTATCATATGCTGCCTTCGCCCGGCCTCTCAGTAGCGTTCCAAGAACAACCGTCTTCGCTGATGGCTCTTGCACACCATTCAACTCTGCAATAGCTTCGAAGTCCCTTAAGAAGATCCATATGTCTCCTTCTTCAAAAGCTGCAGGCCATGGGACTTTCATTTCGCGACAGGCAGCGACACCAAATGTAACAACAGAAGGCAAGAGTCAGGCAACAGATCATTTATTAAGGAAATCAACGCATATTTATATATTTTCATGTACATTACTATGGATATTTAAGCAAACAAACACAGTCTTCCGATTGGTTGTTTCTCACGTAAAGTTAATCTTTCATCTATTTGTGACTGTTTCTTGAATGTCAAATCCTCTATATGTTAACTGCATCCGCCTACGCAAAGTCAATCTTTGTTCACATTTTCTCACGACAAATCTTGGGAACGTAAATATTGACGTAAATTACTGTCTACCAATTTGGCTAGTAGACAGCTCTCACCACATTACTACTGATGATTTAGATTCCTTATTGTTGGTGTCGTCATTAATATTATTATTATCACTTTTATTATTATCATCATTATTATTATCACTATCGCTACTATCATTATTTATTTAATTTTTACATTCCCTTACCTATTTCCTGACTAATTTATCCGGGTAATTATTAAGTTTCAAGGCTTCTTTTATGTGTATCAGTTCCTGTTTTAGATTTTCCTTGGTACTACTTAGTTTTTGTGCTCTGTCATTTAAACATTTCACCAATCCTATTTTCACTGACATGGGATGGTACGATCGGAAGTCCAAATATCTGTTTGAGTGTGTGGGTTTCCTGTAAACACTAGTGTTTAACTTCCCATCTTCTTTCCTTTTTACGTTGCAATCTAACACTGGGAGCTCCCCTTCCTGATTTTCCAATTCATAAGTGAATTGAATTGCTTCAACCTTCAAGTTGATGTGTTCGAAAAACCTATCTATATCTTGTGTTTTAAGTACAGTGAATGTGTCATCTACATACCTCCACCATACTTTTGGGGTGGGGGTGAACGTTTCAATCGCTATTCTTTCCCACTTATCCATGAATATATCTGCTACAACTGGGGATATTGGTGATCCCATGGCAACTCCTTCAGTTTGTTTGTATATTTTTCCTTGGAATTTAAATACTGTGGAAGTCAGGCATAGCTGTACTCCCAGCATTATGTCCTCAAGTGGCACTTTTGTCCAAAGTTCGAGTTCTTGGTCAGAAATTAGTTCGTTTCTGATTGCCTCCATAGCCATATTTATTGGTATACGTGTGTATAAACTGACAATGTCAAAACTAACCATTTTTTCTTCATTATCTAACTTTAAATTATCTAATCTGTGTTTTAGTTCATAAAAATTAGTTAGTCTAGATTTCGAGTGGATTAGTCAGTCAAATCAGAAGAGGATAATAAATAATCTTAAAATTCTATTTCAATCAACTCACGCACATCACAACATTCTAACAAGTTACTTATTTTGACCATAAAAACACTCGTCTTATTTCCCATCTGATTGTATTTGATCAATAACACTCATATTATTATTTCTGGATATACATTATCCTATATCGATGTTTATTCAAATGTCTAATCATCAATTTCACTCATGTATATAAATGAAGCAAGAAAGTTGTGTGAGTGAGTGACTTGATTTGATTATGAGTAGCAATAGTTTGTGCTCGAAACGTAGTCATCAGTTAATATTACTGTATAACAATATTGTGTGATTTATCAAAATAAAATCTTATCTATAATGGAGTTATACACAACCACTGTGCCCAAGTTTTTTACTTATATCAATTGTTGTTAATCATTGAGTTGACGTGTTACTTAACCTTTTGACCGACTGGAACTAAACGACACGTTCATATGCTATTCAGATACATTAGAATAAATGCGTGCAAAGACTAGTTCACTCCTAATCGTATGTCTTTTGAATAACTCATCAACATGTCCTACACTATCAGTATTCTGACCGCATGACTTGTATTTTATTGACTGATGAATCTAATTTGTGATAAAAATGTCTGCAAATAGCAAAATGATTTAAATTTCAGGTTTCGGACTTAAAATAACGTCTGCAGTTTGCAATTAATAGTGTTCTCTGAGCTGGTTGGTTTAGTTGCGGAGCTTTCGTCGTCCGCCCTTCTGGATAACATACCCTTTCAGAGCAATTTTCAGCATAAAGTGAACTGATTTAAATTTTTTTCCATGAGTGGTAGAATTGCGTCTTCCGGTAACCATCTTTACATATGCAGTGATCATTTTCTATTGACTTTCTGGTCACCTGATTTACTTTTTATTAGTTGGTATATTCGGTCTATATTAACGTGTTTGTTAATTGCATATTCGTTTGAGTACCAGGCTTCTAGGAATTCCTTGACTGCACTTTCGTTGTTTCGTCTGTCTACAATTTTGACATTATCCCCATCAGAAAATTGGTGTCCATAATTATCTAAATGCATTGATATGATACTGTAGCACTCCAGCATTGAAAAGAATGGAAGGAAAATACCTACTAACGGTCTTTAAATAGAATGGATATCCGTTCAATTTCACCAACAAGTGTTTAAAATCGAATCACAACACCAATAAGGAACCATCATCAAAGACCACAAGAAAATTCATTCTACCATACATGAGAAATATCTCTGAAATAACAGCTAGAATGTTGAAACCGTTTGAAATAGACATAGCACACAAGGCATTCCAATCACTTCATTCATGGATATTGTGCAAGCCGAAAGATCCAACAGAAAAGGAGGTAAAAATACCATTTACAAAATAAATTGTGTGAACTGTAACAGATATTACATTGACCAAAGTGGGTGTCCCCTTCGAATCAGAATCCAGGAACACAAATCAGCTGTGATGAGAAGACATGATATATATTCCTGTTTCATATCCATGCATATAGATAATTATGGACACCAATTTTCCGATTGGGATAATGTCGAAATTGTAGACAGAGGAAACAAAGAAAGTGCAGTCAAGGAATTCTTAGAAACCTGGTACTCAAACGAATATGCAATTAACAAACATGTTAATATAGACCGAATATACCAAGTAATAAAAAGTAAATCATGTGACGAGAAAGTTCAAAATCCAAGTCAATAGAAAATGATCACTACATATGTAAAGATGGTTACCGGGAGACGCAATTCTATCACTCATGAAAAATTTAAATCAGTTCACTTTATGCTGAAAATTGCGCTGAAAGGGGATGTTGTCCAGAAGGACGACGAAAGCTCCACAACAAGCTCAGAGAACCCTACTAATGGCAAATCATCCACCTGAGCTACAAATCTGGTCTATTATTTCAATGTCTGTAATTGTTCAAGTACATTGATATATTAAAGAATGTATAATGTACATTTTGGCTACTAGTTTGAGACCTTCGATATAAAAGTGAGGCAGACATTCATACTCAGGCCTTATCATCAACATGTATCGCCATAGGGAAGTTAGCCTTCATTTCCATTACTATGATCATCGGCAACCGTATGATCTGACTTTTGAAAATATCACAATGATGAAAACTCTTGATACTTTTATGACCAGTTGCCCTTTACACTATATGCAGGTATAACGAATCTTTGAGGTTCAGTTAAGTTTGCTGTATTTCAAAGGTATCAAACCGTTCATGTGAACTGGTAAGATGGTGATGGAATCCGATATAGCTGCCTAATTCAAAGTTTGTTTATTGAAATTCATAAATCAGGTACGTACTTTAGTCACTCAACAAAGCAACACAAGAAAAATGAACGCCCTATTCTAATATCGGATGTAAATGCGTACAGATTATTAATTGTATCAACTATATATGTTATAGTGGTTATCAAAGGAATTCAGGATAGCAGACTATGTCTAATTTAGCTAATGTTACTTTTTTTTATTCCTTCACGTTCCCATTGGAACATAAGGCTCCAAGCTAGAGGCTTGAAGTTTCTGTAGCAGTGGTGTTTATTTTTACAGGATGGGATTGCCTCATGCCCAACCTTTCCTCTTCACAAGCATTATTTCTGGCTTAGCGAGGTAAAGGATTGCGTTGGTGGCCGGGGATCGAACCCCGAACCATGTGCGTGGTCGGTGAGCGTCCTAACCGCTATGCCACCAACGCTTGCTTCTTAAGTTGCATTCACGAACATACGCCTATTGAATGACAATTTTCCCTTTGACTTTGGTTTCAAGTCTCATTAAGCACCAATACACAGCGATCTAGTTAACTCACATACCAACTAGCTTCATATTAGATGTAACACATGCTGTGCATATCACTGCCAATCACCTTCAAGTAAAAAAGTTACAACTGACTACAGATAGGACTGTGGCATCAATTGGAGTATTTCAGATATTGTAACGGCAAAAGACCAGAGAATTGGTGTTTTATTTTATTCTTTTATATTGACAGTGGAACATAGAGAGAGCTTCAAGCTAAAGCTTAGAGGTTCCGGTGGTGTTTATTTTTACGAGATCGGGTTGCCAGCTAGCCTCATACTCAACCTTCCCTCTTTACCGACTTAACGAGGTAAAGGAGTGCGTAGGTGGCCAGGAATCGAACCCCGGATCACATGCGTAGTTGGTGAGCATTCTACCTACCTCTAAGCCACCGACGCATAAAAAGCAGAAAATAAAAACGAATCATATTTATACATTTTCAGCCACATTAATATTCGGCTAAGTCAGGGGTTCAACAGTGAAACGAAAAGTTGTTCAAAGAATTTTATTTCACGTCCATATCGTAAACTAGATCCAGATGTGAGGAATGAACACTCCTACCTCTGCAGCCATTGACTTAAAATGTTAGCTTCACTTCTGACCGCCTTAGTACTGGAAACTACTCGAGTACTACGGCGTACCCCAAATATTCATCAACCTTATTCAACAGCTGTACGACAACGGCACATGTCAAGTGATCCACAACGGAAAACTCAGCGAAGCGTTTGGAGTAAACACAGGAGTCAGACAAGGGTGCTTATTAACACCAATGATATTCCCAATTGTGGTGGACTGGATTATGCGTCGTCAGACAGTGGGAAACGAGAAGACAGGGATATCCTGGACCGACGTGAAGAACCTAGAAGACCTGGATTTCGCGCGTGGATGATTTATGTTTGATGTCACACAAAATCGAAAACTTACAAGCGAAAACCGACAAACTGGTCGAAGAAGCAGCAAAGACAGGACTCCAGGTGAACATAGACAAGACGGAGGTTATGAAAATAACCAACCAACCAACAACAACAACAGCAGCAACATCCAGTGCCAATCACCATCAACGGGAGGGATTTGAAAGAGGTTACTTCTTTCACTTATCTAGGGAGCATTGTCTCAACTACAGGAGAAACGGACGGACGAGGATGTCAAATCGAGAATCGGGAAGGCGAGAA